AACAGTTCCCCTTTAAATCACTCACCCGTTTTCTCCAGTAATGCTCTGTAGAATCTCGCGTAACTAATGCCAGCGTTGTCTTCGTTGATTGACAGCCGAGATTCGTGAGCATGGACGACGAACACGGCGAAATCCATCGGTGGTTCAGATTGGATGGTCTTGCACAATTCCGTCATTTCTGAGAGAGCAAAGTACTTCTTTGTGAGGATCGAAATTTCGAAGCTTAGTTTGTCTTTGATGGCGTTTAACAACTTCTCCACTACATCTAGCTTGTAGGTTTTATCGCAGTTAAAAAGATGGAAACATTTCTTGTTCCCTTCCTTTCTTTCTGGCAGCGGCTGTTCCTCCTCCATATTCGAGTCAGTGTTTTCTTCCATCTTGATATTGACACTGTTTTGGTTTCAAACCGATTCCACGAATTCAGCGGTTTTCAAGTCAAATTTGCATATATCGACTCCTAATTCAGCGTCACGCAAACCACTAACTTCTTTAGCACCTTTTTGTGAATATAAAAGCCACTACTACCATGAATTATAACTTAAATTTAAAAAAAAAGATTCATAAATGTTTTTTGAAATATTTAGTCAGTGTATTTTAAAAAACAGCTGCCCGAAAATTGGAGTTATAAAAGTGGGTTTTCTCGGAAAACTTTTAGTGACGTCACAATGCTCTGTTTAGCCCAAAGGTGGGCTAAACCGAAAGCAGATAGCAGAACGCGTTCGATTTTTTTGTCGTAGAACACAGCAAAACAGTAGTTTAGACCGCTATTATGTGATAACCTCTTACAAACCAAACATGGCTTGCAGTAAGGAACAAAGAGAAGATGAAATCTCCCAGCTGTGTGGTCGATTACTTGAATACACGGTCGGGACTTACGAGACGTTCCATGACGCCAGGGAGGGCGAGATGGAAGGTTGTCGCCTAAATATCTCGATCTTTGGTATGACTGGCTCTGGAAAATCAGCTCTGATTAATACTATCTTCAAGTCATTGGATAGCAAGTCGGAGCATATGGCTACAACTCAGGACGCTGGAAAGGAAGGTACTAAGATGCTAGACTCTTATGCTGTTCCGAAGACCCAAATAACGCTCTTCGACACTCCTGGATTCTTCGAGTTGGACAGAACGGAGGAAGGTAACTTTTTATTTTAGCTCTGAGTTAGTTTTTCCTGAGTAGTAGAAAGAAAATCTGATTACTACTATTACATGCAGTGTACTTGCGTTTCCCCGCGCCGCTCAACCGAGAGCTTTGTTCAGTTGGGTCTGGGATGTGATAACTTATATCTATTTCTTGATCTGCGAATCAGGAAATAAACTAAGGCCAGACCAGCGATCCAAAAATTATGACAAATGCGAAAAAGGAAAATCTTCCTTATAAAGTTATGTCACAAAAAAACTATTCTAATGAGAATCTGAGGTAAAACCTCAATGAAGCCGGAAGTGGGGAAGATGAAGGACTGGGGCGGGGAATCTTACAGTTGCTATGGCTACTAGAAAAATTGATTTTGCAAAGCAGTGTATGATTCTTTGAACTAGAAATTGTTTTCCGGTTGAACATCAGACAAAGTGAAGGGTATCGTGGGTAGTGTGGATCCAGGGGGGAGGACTCCCATATCAAAGGGACGGGGGTGCTCGTCGTGTCTCAGTATAAGGGGTTAAAAACAGCGGTTTGGTACTTCTTAGTGTGGGCAGCTTCAGAAGGTCCATAACAAAAGCTTTCGCGGTACCTTAAAGGTATTCAGCCAAAAATATTATTATAGGAGACATTTGACAATCAATTTTATGAGTAGAAGAAATTCGAAGAAAATTTGACATTTTTTAAGTTGGTAAGAATAGAGGCAAGTTCTATTTGTCGCCAACAGTTTGCCAACAAGTTTGCCGACTGTTTTTTTGCCGTTCACACACACCAACTTGAATTTGCCAACACGTGTTTGCCAACTTTAGTTCGCCGTGTGAAGGCCGCTTTAGGGGTGAACAAATTTCAAACGACGCCTTCAAAACAGGATCGTGGTACCTCTTAGGTTCTTTTCAGTATTTCCGACGAACATGCCTGTTCTTTTTAAATGACAGGTCCCCTCTCTAGAGTATGGATATCAATTTTGTCCACCTTGTTTTCCTCCTTTTGTTATATCTTTGTTAGTAGTATTTTGTCGAAGTCTGTGCAGTTAACAACAAACTTATTATATGTTAAATTAAATTAGATCTCTAGTTGAACATTCTCGCGAAACTTCTCCCGCGTTTTGCGGCTTTCTGCATCCTAAATTATTGACTAGAATTACATGTTAATGCCACGAAAATATTCTCCCTAAAAACAGGGGAGCTGTTTCGCATCCTGTTTGGAATTGAACAGCCAGGAGAATATTTGACCCGAGGTAGCACGGGCGCTCAAAAGGCAGACGCCGCTGGCGTTGCTGCTTACAGACTCAAGAAGCCACCAATTGTCGACCAGATGCACGTGATACTGTGGGTTATAAAAGCTGTTGATATCAGGTTTCAAATGGGACAATACAGAGAAAAAATCAAGTTTGTTCAAGACCAGCTAAAACAAGCAAGTGAGTAGTCAGTAAAGCTAAAGACGGGTCCTGAGGGGGTTTTTCCAAAAGAAATGTAAGGTTGCATTTCACTACACCACACTCATCATCATCATC